CCACCCCACCCTGAATCGCCCACAGTCCCTCCCCCCTGTCAGCCCCGCCCCTGATCACTCCCCCTACCCCAATATGGGGCGGGGCCAGCCAGTCAACCTCCTGCAGCTCCTCCTCCTGCCCAGCCCCACCCCAATAATGGCAGGGTTGACCAGCCAACCACCTGCAGCCCCTCTCCCTGGCCAGCCCTGCCCCTGATGGGCCCCTACCACCACATTCAGGGGTGGGGCCCGTTGGCCAATCGCCCTCAGCCCCTCCCCCAAGCTGGCTCAGCCCTAATCGGGCCTTGATCAGGGCAGGCAGGCCAGCCGGCCAACCTCCCACTGTCTCCTCTTCCCTACAGGCCCAGCCCTAATCCACCGTGATTGGGGCCAGGCTGGCTGGACCCACCCATGCACGAATTCGTGCACTAGGCCTCTAGTTTCTTTATAGTTTACGTATTTATTATTGTGTGTCAAAATGATTGATGTTTATATTTGAAGATCATTTTTATTAAAAATTTATGATTAAAAGCAGCATTCATTCATCCCTTCCAGTTCCTAAACCCAAGAAGAAATCATTTAAAATTATTTTTTTTGTTTCTTCTGGTACCTACTCCCATATTTCTAAATAAAATTTTTGTACTTTTTTTGTGGGGTTTTTTTTTTTTTGGTATCATTGATTTTAGATGCTACCTGTTGATTTACTAGAAGTCAACTTAAGGAAGATGAATTTTCTTCTCTTGCAGTACCTTGAGCTGGGCTCTGTTGTTGTACACCACTTCACCAGCAACCTCCCAACCATCAGTTCCCCATTGCAAAATAGCTATACCACAAGTTTTAGTTAAGTAATAATTATTTACATTATTATAATTAGGAAAATAGATCACACTTTTTTCTTTTTTTGCAATTTTCTTATTTTCCTGGGATTAATATTATCCCCTATTTTTCATTTGCTTATATTTTTAATTTTCCCCAAACTCTTTACCAGAGTTTTTATATGCCTCTCAATATAATAAAACACATCAATTCCCATCAGTTCTAAATTTTTGGTTTTGTTTTTTTTAAAAAATATATTTTTATTGATTTCAGGGAGGATGGAGAGGGTAAGAGGGTTAGAGAGATAGAAACATCAATGATGAGAGAGAATCATTGATCGGCTGCCTCCTGCACGCCCCACACTGGGGATCAAGCCCACAACCCAGGCATGTGCCCTGACTGGGAATGGAACCATGACCTCCTAGTTCATAGGTAGATGCTCAACCACTGAGCCATGCCAGCCAGGACAGGTATTTAGATTTTAGCTTTTCTAGTGTGCAAAGCCAGTCAGCACTCATCCATATATTATAGAACTTCCAAATTGTTGCTGATATTTCTTTGGCAACTCTACTTAAGTTCTGTTTGTCTTTTTTGAATTATGACTTCTTACTTTTGTTTCAGTAGTATCAGAATGAAGTAAAATCACATATTGTGTTCATCTCCAAATCTTTTTTTTCTTCATCTTTAATTTTATTTTCTCTGTAGTTCTGAAAAAATATTATTGATTTCTCTCTCTCCTCTTTCTCTCTCCACATAAAATACACACACAAACACACACACAAGCACACACAGACACACACACACACACACCGTCCTCACTTAATGCCTTCGGTTAGTTCTTGGAACTGTGGAGAAAGACATATAATGAAGCCAGTTTAATTGTCGGATACAAAAGTTGAGTTCTGTGGCATCTCCTCAACATTATAATGAAATGGTAATATTTGAGGAACTGGTGTGTGTGTGTGTGTGTGTGTGTGTGTGTGTGTGTGTGTGTGTGTGTGGTGTACACATCCAGAAGATATACACCAGGGATCTGACACCCAGAGATTAAGCATCTGCATTATGGAAGTAGTTGTCCTTGGATCAGGATTAGCTAACTCATAGAGTGGGAATCCACATGTATAACACACTTTTAAGATGACTGTGTGTACACACAATCTCTTAACAATTTTCCTGAGCGGTTTCTCCCTATGTGGAACAAAAAACAAGAGATAGCATGTGATTGCCCGTTAGAATGGAGGAAATTGAATCGCCTACTTATTCTCCTTTATTGTTTTGGCCTAATTGTACCTTCAGGCCTTTAATGCTGGAAAGATTGGCTTTTATGGAGGAAATGACCTGTAAAAACTGTGTAAGGGTAAGAGACCTGAAGAGTGATGAGGTTTTATGAACTGCATCTTAGGGAGCTAAATAAAATAGTGTGTGGCCATTGAAGCCTTGGGGTGCCATCCAGCAAGAATGTAGCCGCAGATTATTAACTCGAATAACTTTCTTGTACTCAAGGGTGAATCCTCATTTTTGTGGGGCCTGAAGTGTGTATGATTTGGTGGACCTCTTCAGGAAATATAATTAATTCAAACTTACAAATTTCACAATTGCTAAAGCCCCTCCCAGAACCATGAAAGATTAGGTGCCACTAAGGACTCCTGAAGCTTAAGCTTCAAGACTATAAAATAAGCTAGAAAATATTTATAATGTAGTGGAGAAGATATGTATACATATGCCATATATATAGTGTATGATTTGGTGGACCTCTTCAGGAAATATAATTAATTCAAACTTACAAATTTCACAATTGCTAAAGCCCCTCCCAGAACCATGAAAGATTAGGTGCCACTAAGGACTCCTGAAGCTTAAGCTTCAAGACTATAAAATAAGCTAGAAAATATTTATAATGTAGTGGAGAAGATATGTATACATATGCCATATATATATATATATATGATCCAAATAAAATGGTAGGGAAGTATACAAAAGCTGGAGGTTGGGGTTTTCCTGGAGGAGATATGTTGATTTTGAATGATAGTTGGAATTTTGGTTCAGACAGATTGGTGACAAGAGTAGACTGAGTAAAGGGGAAGAAGGACAAACATTTTGAGCAGTTGGAAATAATGACTCTTCACCTTGGTGGAAGTAGATAGGTGAAGTGAGGGCATGTGGTTGGGGACAGGGTACAGAGTTAAGGATAGTAATGTGGTTGTGACCAGATCCTGAAGAATAGTGACCCCTGTGCTATTGAAAATAATCTTCTAGGCCAGCGGTTCTCAACCTGTGGGTCACGACCCCTTTGGTGGTCAAACGACTCTTTCACAGGGGTCGCCTAAGACCACCCTGCATATCAGATATTTACATTACGATTCATAACAGTAGCAACATTACAGTTATGAAGTAGTAATGAAAATAATTTTATGGTTGGGTCACAACATGAAGAACTGTATTTAAAGGGCCAGAGGTTGAGAACCACTATTCTAGGCAATACAGGAACCAGTGGGAGAGTCTGAATATGCCCATACCATATTTAGAAGTGGACTTTAGTGTGATTGTTTTAGCAGCAGCATAGTGGATAGATGGAAGGAAAAAGAGTACAGAGCCATGAAGCCAGGTAGCAGTTAGAATTTAAAGCCACATTCATCTCTCTTAGCAGTTTAGGCTCTTTCCACTGTCACATTATTGAGAACCAGGCTACTGCTTTTGTGTGAACTGCATGTCTCCCAGATTGGTCTTTAGTGTACCATTAGTTC